AAACACAGAGTTTTTGACATTTTTATTATTAGATTTATTAAAAAAAGAAAAACTGAAATATCACATGGTCATAAGTATTCAGACCCTTTGCTCAGTATTTAGTAGAGCTAATACAGCCATGAGTCTTTTTGGGAATGATGCAACAAGTTTTTCACACCTGCATTTGGGGATCCTCTGCCATTCCTCCTTGCAGATCCTCTCCAGTTCTGTCAGGTTGGATGGTAAACGTTGGTGGACAGCCATTTTCAGGTCTCTCCAGAGATGCTCAATGGGGTTTAAGTCAGGGCTCTGGCTGGGCCATTCAAGAACATTGTTCTATAGTGTTTAAGAGTTCCGTAGTCTTTCTAACTATGGGAGGAGGGGATTCTGTGGTGGTTAGAACAAACAGTATATGTCTAGTAGTTAATCCATTGTTAACATATTCCTGATTCAAATGGGTCATGGGATATATTACATAAATTTCTCTTAGAATAGATACTAAAATAGACTTCTAGTGTCAAGATAGGAAAATGCTTGTGTAACTAGGAAAGGTCAGCGACCTTCTATTTTTTCTGTTCTGCTCAAGGAGGCAGTCGGATGGTCAGGAGTTTTCCCCAAAGAAGGAGATGATAGTGGACAAGCTAATAGAGCAGAGCTAATAAGGAAAAGAATGTGAAGGAGAGAGATGGAAATAAAAAGGAGCAGGGGGGCTGATCAAGGGAGAGAGCGGAGCTGAGTTGTGTGACTACCTGACTTCCTCTGCAGAGTGACAAAAGACTAAAAGACTTTTAAGTGCAGCAGAAATTTTTTTGTAACCTTGGCCAGATCTGTGCCTTGCCACAATTCTGTCTCTGAGCTCTTCAGGCAGTTCCTTTGACCTCATGATTCTCATTTGCTCTGACATGCACTGTGAGCTGTAGGGTCTTATATAGACTGGTGTGTGGCTTTCCTAATCACGTCCAATCAGTATAATCAAACACAGCTGGACTCAAATGAAGGTGTAGAACCATCTCAGGGATGATCAGAAGAAATGGACAGCACCTAAGTTAAATATATGAGTGTCACAGCAAAGGGTCTGAATACTTATGACCATGTGATATTCAGTTTTTCTTTTTTAATAAATTTGCAAAAATGTCAAAAATTCTGTGTTTTTCTGTCAATGTGGGGTTCTGTGTGTACATTAATGAGGAAAAAAATGAAAAATGATTTTAGCATATGGCTGCAATATAACAAAGAATGAAAAATTTAAGGGGGTCTGAATACTTTCCGTACCCACTGTATATATATATTGATGTGCACAACATCCAGTGTCCATGTTTTTATTTTTTAAGTTTTGCATGTCCTGCGCATTGCGTCCCAGGGTACAACAAGCACAGCGCACGAGCATTGTGCACGCACCTAGACAGGCGTGCATCGCAACACGGTAAAAGCGCCCATTAACTACCAACAATGACTCGACTGTTGACCACAGACCTGGCTTTTGCCGCTCAGTGGCACATTCACTTTGTGCACCTTTATATTACCAACGTGCTCAAAATTTACCTGGACACACACCGTTTTTATCCAGACACATCTGCCGGCGCATAGTGGACAGGCTGCTTGGTAAAAAGGCAACGTAATGCACATATCGTGAAAACAGTAATTGCGCAGGTAGGAAATTAGGAAACACAGACGGGCTACCCTCGCCGCTGCCATTGATTTGTTGAACCCACGGAGTCAGAGTAGTGGAGAGTTCAGTGGTCCTGGTAGTGATAACCACCCTCCTGTTCATGGGCTCTTGTTGGTTTGGCCAAATAGGTGTAGTTATTTATTTAATTACTTATGCAGTGTGTGTCTTTGCAGTTTTAAATGAGTTTTTGTAGTTGTTTTATCACACTGTAGTCATTTAGTATTTGTGTGGTCATTTTGTCATTTTGTGTCTTTTAGTTGTGCAAAGTCACTGTGTGGACACCGTTTCTAAGTCAGACCCACAGCAGCTCATGTTCTTCATCATTCTACTGTTTGTCCTGCTGTAAAATCAAATCAAGTGAAATGTAAATGAAGGCGGCTGCTCTGGCGCTGTGTGTGTCTGTGTCATTTAGCCTGGGAAATCAGCACTTGTCATTTTAATTTGGAGCAACGTGGACTCCAGACTTCATTTCCTGTTTATAGTAACACCCCAAATTAATGCAAGCCAGAGGGACACAGAGGAAAAAGAAACAGCTTGACAATGTCTCTGCGGATAAGAAGATAAAAACATCGAAACCTCAAGTGCTGAGTTCAGCATTTTTCTTGGAGCGCAATCGGTTTCCTCAGAAGCAAATCTGTTTGGATGAACGCATGAAGATCTGGCCCATATTGAACAAAACAGATGAGCAGCAAGTTCTCAAGGAGATATGAGGAAATGCGGAGTTGTCTGAATCGCGGAACGATATTTCTGTCTTTCTCTTCTGGGGGATCATCGTTCAGTCTCTCATTAGGCTCCAGCACACACAATGGATGAATGGCCAAAAGTACAAGATGGGCCACGGAAAGGTAGCCCGCCTCCAGTGTTAGGAGTTAGGTACTTAGGGCTCCGGGCTACTTTTCCATGGCCCACCCTGTATAAAAGGAAGATTCAGTTTCAGACATGATCATTGCTTAAAATGAAACCCGTTCCTTTGATCGGATCATAAACGAGGCCCTTGAGTGCTTCATGTCCTGTAAGCCATCATGTTCTGTCTTTATCTGAATGTGTTCTTCTTTCATCAGCTTTACATTTCATCTTGTTGAGCTCCTGACATTGTCAGCTTCTCTGTGAATGGAGAATCCTTTGTCTTGACAGTTTCCCTGTTATTATAGCATTGCTTCTTGATTTGCATGACTTTAATCCTCCCCCATTTTGGGCTGTAATTCAATCTGTCAAGCAGCACCATTTTGTACAAAGTCACAGTTGTGAATTCCTTCAGCTTTTTCTTCTTCTGTAATCCAATTAGATGTCCTAATGCCCACCCCCATTTCCATACTGCATACTGGAGGGGGGCTGCCCCCCTGCCATGAGCCCAGTTTCCAGGTGCTGTGATGAATTTCAATGTTGTGAGTCAGTGAGTCAGATGTGTCTCAGGAACAGGACCTCACTGTATGTCTAAACTCATTCTGTCTTTGGAGGGGGTGCTGCTCTGAACCAAAGTGCAGAATTACCATCTTTTGTTGCTCTGCTTTGATTGCATTTGATTCCACCTCATGCTTGTAGCTTCTGAAAACTGCAGGAAGGTTAGAGATGCCGCTTTTGGCACTGGCTCAAAATTAGCTGGGTTTGTTTCCAAGTGTCATTTTAACTGCTGATGATGATGATGATATCACACATCAGCCAAAGACCATATTCGCTTGCCTGCTGAGAGTTAGATGAGAAGAATGATACCACTGTCATGTCCATGTGGTTCATCTGAAGCCAGCAGGTGATTAACTTAGCTTAGCATAATGATTAGAAACAGGTGGGAACAGATAGCCTGGCTCTGTCCAAAGGTGAACTGCAGCTTTAAAGCTAATTGATTAACATGTTGTAGCTTGTTTGCTTGTTCCAATCGAAAATAGACCATTTGTGGTTTTCTCAGTCCCTGTGCCTGCAGAGAAGCAGCACACCAGTTAAACCAGTTCAATATAAGATGTGACTCACCACACTTTATTGGGTTGCAGATTTAATTTGCTATAGTTTGGACAGAAGGCTCTGAGAACTTTTGTAGATAAGAAATTTGAGTTTTGCAGAAACTTCAAAAAACTTAGTCACTATGGTTGTAGAGTTGCAAAAAGGGCATTTTTATTCACTTAAATTTAAATGTACAACTCAGTAAAGTGTGCAAAAAGTGAAGCCACCTACTCAGTATTTGTAAAGTTTGTAAAGTCTTAATCTGAAAAGTAATTTGAGCTGTCAGATAAATGTAGTAAGGAAAAAATATAAATTAGCATAAAATGAAGCTGTTCTGATTCACTGGCAGTGATGCTGGGGATTGAACCTGTGACCTTTTGGCTGCTGCTAACACTCTGCAGGCTGCCAGCTCTGTGAGGATAGATGAGTTTCCTGTAGATCCGAGGATTAAAACACTCCTGCCTGCAGCTGCCTGACTCCCTGCCAGCTCTGTACAACCACCATCCCAGCGTGAGCACAAGTGTGTGTCTGTGTGGAGCCGTGTGTTTTGGTGGCTAAATCGCTGCAGCCCTTTTTGTTTATTTGTGGCCCAGTAAATCTGCGAATCATCAGCATCGTACTTCCACCCTCTCAGACATACAGCCCTGAAGGGGGCAAAAAAAAAAAAAAACAGCAAATGGCTCCAAAGAGCAGCGTGGTTGCCATGACAACTGACATAAAAAGCATTTATGAGGTGATTTAAAAGCTGATTGGCTGCTAATAGTGTGACAAGAGAGAGTATATAACTGGTGGTTCAGAGACACAGAGGAGATTGTGTGTGCGTGTGTGTGTGTGTGTGTGTGTGTGTGTGTGTGTGTTTCAGGATTTGTTTTTCAACACCAGACACTTTTACAACCTCAAATGCACAAATATTTTCTGAAATTTCTCAACAACTATTTAATTTGCCCAATTTTTTGGTTTATAACAAGATTCCTGTAAAACTAATAACGTCCTTATCAGGTTGTCATGCTAATTAGCAGTGGCTAGCATGCTAACACACTAGACTAAGATGGCAAACATGGTACATATTACCTGTTTAGCATCAGCCTATGACCATGTAGCATGCTAAAATTAGCATTTAGCCTTAAGGAGCCATTAGCATGGTTGTAGAAAAGAAAGAAAGTCACTTTCGGCTTTTCCCGTTTAGGGGTCGCCACAGCGAATCGTCACACTGATGATTCGCATGTTGACATTTGGCGCGTGTTTTACGTCGGATGCCCTGCCTGACACAACCTGGATTTGAATCCGGGGCGCCACAGCGAGAGCGCTGCACCTTAACCACTAGCCTACCTGGGATGGTTGTAGACCCTCTGAGATATTTATTGAGGTTTTGCAGTTCATTTTTTGTTATGTGTTCTTATCTAACAATGACTTGTAGTTTTGTTTTGTACAGGAAAACAAGAAGAAAAGTGGCACCACTGGAAGTTGTGTGTTTGGCCTCATAAGATGCTCCTGTTCAGGGATGTACCAAAGGAGAGGAGAGAATATAGATTTGTACAACAATTCTCAAGGGCTGATTTCCCACCACAGACTGATGCAATGGCCAATATGTAAGGTCAAAGGAAGCAGATTTAAAATTTGCAGCCCTGCTGTCACCGCGGCAGCTGTTATTTCTTTGAGACGTCATCAGCGTCAAGAACAAGTGAGGAAGGAAAGGGTGTTTGTGAAGTGCATCTCTCTGCCAGAGGATGTGAGGGACCATCAGGTCAGACCATTCTTCAGTCACTGAACCAAATAAAGGATGAATTTGGCTGCAGAAGACATGAGAGTTGGTGTCTTCAACCACCACTGAAGTTCAGTAGTAACACACTTACACTTGCAGACTCTTCCACTGTCTGTGCACAAGATGTGTTTTAATTGTCTGCCGTACATGCATCTGATGGCAGAGTTTTGCTTCTACTTTAATTGACACAGCTGTCTACACAGTTACTTGTCTTACCACAAACTGAAGTGTAATGTTAGGCTTCGAGCTATATGTCATCCATTATTCACTGCCTAATAAAGCAGGCGCATGAATACAACACAGAGAATGACATGAAATCAGTGTGCATGTGATGTGTGTGTTGACCCAGATGTCTGTCTAATAAAGCAGAAATACCATCAAAGAACTTGAATGCCCTGAAGAAGCCTTTTTTACCATCCATCAAATTCATCCATTATCTATACCGCTTATTCCTGAAGAGGGTCACAGGGGGCTGGAGCCAATTCCAGCTCACACTGGGCAAGAGGCGGGGTCCCTGGACAGGTTGCCAGTCTGTCACAGGGCTGACATGTAGACAAACAACCACCCACCTCTAGGGGCAATTTATAGTCGCCAGTCAACCTATGCTGCATGTCTTTGGACCGTGGGAGGAAGCCGAAGTACCCAGACAGAACCCATGCAGACACAGGGATGAGGATGGAGCTGAAGGTGCTCTCACCACCTGGCCTCTGAGCCAGGCAGCGCTGCCTCTGGGCGCTCAGGAGCAGGAATTGTAACCCCACCCCCCACTGG